TTCAGATCTTTTATAAAAAACTCTATGAAGAGCTATCTCAGTTTACAGCAAACCCAAAAAGAAAGAAAACAAGAGAAGAAAAACCTTGTAAGGAATATTCTGTTTCTGAATTGCTTAGCTGGCAACTCAACAGTCTTCATTAGCTTCTTAACCCCTGATGTTATTATTATTAGCAGCTGTGATATTTAGCACTGATTTCTTATAAGGAACTTTTAGGTGAAGCAACTCTATTTTTTAAGACAGCTAGATTTTCTGAAGTTTGTTCCCATCTATAAAGTAGTCATTTCTTTTTGAATGCCTGTTTCCTTATCTCCTTATTAGATTTGCAAAGGAGTCACTCATTGCAGGCTATTTGCTCAAAAAGTAAAGAACTTTTTAAATTTCCCATATATTTCTTCTAAAACAATGTTCAGTGTATGGACTGATTTCTCTTGCTTTCTTGAGGATTTTAAGATGGCTTGTTGACAAACGGTTTCTAGTTAGAGGCTGTCCCTTTACCCAAATTCATAACAGCTTCTCTGTGCCATAAATAAGACAAACCTTTCTGTTGTAGCAGAACTTTCAGTTTGCTCTACAAAAAGCTTCACTTCAGGATAATGGTGAAATTCCCATTGAATTACCGTAAAGCTCTAAGCAAAAATTTCTTGAATAGCTATTAGGGAAAATTAGGTATTTTCTTAAGGAGCCAAAAACCGTAAAGCTCTGAGTTCGGTATTCTTACAGTTTTTTCCTTGGAACTAACATTCAACAAACTCTGAGGCGATTTTGCTCCTTCTAAATCCTTTAAAGGCTGTATTTTAAGTTTACTATGAATGTCTTTTCAAGCTGAAAAGTTTTTCCGGGCAATGTCCTAGTGTAGACACACTTCCTGCACTGGGTAGAGCTCTGGTAAGCTAGTTTCAACCTCTCCCTCATGCCCATCTTAGATGGCTGTTTTTGTGGGGAACCTGACCTTTTGGATGGGGGAGAATGATATCCTATACCACAAACCAGGGCTTTTCAGAAAAGGGACTGTGGGCATGGAGGTGAGTGAAGACTTTTGAGCTGCTCAGTCGTGTTCTCCGTATGCAGCAACTTCAGCCCATGCTCTCCCCAAGTCATTGGTGAAGTGATAAAGGACTACCCCTCTTCCTTTGCCAAGGCCGAAGAGTCCTCCGTTCTCTAGCACTGGTTCTGGCCTCCTCTGCCTCTTTGAGACTGTATCCATGTACTGAGACGGCATTGGAGGTGTTTTCCTGCAGCTGAAATGTACTGATAGGATGGACTCGGGTGCATTCTGCTAAAGTCTCAGAAAACAGAGCTAAGTTCTTTAACGTGACACAAAGGCCAGGAAGTGGCCCAGCCCTGCTGGCTCTTTCTGGTGTCACCCAACAGACTTGTCTTTGGCAAGCCCTGCGTAAGCACCACATTTAATTGCCAGAACATAGAAAAACGTACTCTTACTGAGCCCTAGCTGTTGGCTCTGTGTTAAAATGTCTTCTGCCCCCTATACCTTTGCTGGGTGACGTTATCATTGCATAATTAAAAGCATTAGGTGTCAAAGAAACCCGGGTTTGAGACCTCACAAAAAGTATGGGTACAGGAGTAATTATTTAAATTTAAATTCCAACTGCAGTCAGGCAAATTTCTTAATCACTGTCTTAGCTTGTCAAGTGGAGATCTCATACTTACCACCAAGGACAGATCATTAGAGAATCTACTTGAAGAAGGTATTCAAATGCCTGTGAAGGAGCAACGTTTAAACTGATGGACACTCTCCCTGGTGTTCCAGGATTCTAACTACCTCTCCCATTACTAATGCTCCTCAATCAGCCATTCTTGCCTCATGGCATTGGCCAACGGCTCATCTGGCTATCACACACCTCATTCACTCTATATAATGGATGGGGCATTAATTACTGCAGGACCCGAAGCACTTGTCCCCTAGAATTTCCTAGACCTCTACACAGGTCAACAGGCTTTTAGACTAACACCTCAGTAAAAAGGTGTGGTGGCATAAAACTTTTTCCCCTTGTTTCAAAAGTCTAGCCTCCTAGAAACCTGAAAGAAGTCACAGATTTGACCTGGGGTACAGGTCTAATGAAAAAGGTTTACAGGGATTGTGATCTAATAGCCAAGACCATCACTGCAGCCATGGAGGATTGAGACTGACTTCTGACAAAGTTTCCTGTATTTAAAGAGAAACCTAAAACAACAAAATCAGGGTGACATATGGCAGTTCACAACTGTCTATAACTCCAGTTCTAGGGGATCTGACATCCTAACACAGACATACAAGCAGGTAAAACCCCAATGTATATAAAAAATAAATCTTTAAAGAAGTCAGGGTGAGCTGGGAGGTGGTGGCACACGCCTTTAATTCCAGTGCTTGGGAGGCGGAGGTAGGCAGATCTCTGTGAGTTCGAGGCCAGTCTGGTCTACAGAGCGAGTACAGTAGACCGGGCTACACAGAGAAACCCTGTCTAGAAAACAACAACAACAATCTTTAAAAAAAAATCAGGGTGAAAAATAGGAATATAATGTTAAATTTATTATTACCCATTGTGGTTTTATTTTCAAATTATGTATTCAACACAAACTTATTAAGGAACAAACAATGCACTAGAACCTAGAAAGCAAGACAATTCTTGCTCTGGCGTTCACAGCCTGAAAAACTAGACAAGTACAGAGGTTATGGCATTAGGTTACAGTAGCAGGGAGTTTGACAGAGATGCAGGTTTACAGCTCCAGCCTGCCAATCAGAAAGCTGAGATTTTTTTTAGTTCTCCAGGTAACTGTGATCTGTGCTACAACTAGAAGAACCATAACCACAGTGGAAATCAAAGACAACTTTGGAGAGCCAACACACCTGAGCCAAACTCGCCACCCTCTGCCATCTATAAATCACATTCACAGTCCCTTCTAGACTACACTCTAAATAGGATGCTCTCTGGTAACTAATTCACAAGGATCATTCAAGTATATCTTGCTTCTCTGAGTAGATTTTAAGAATTTAAGGGCAGGGGTTGATAGTTATTATTTTTAAGTGATTTATCTTATATATAAGTAAGATCAGAGGCCGCCTCTAGAGCTATTCTCTCCTACAGTGTGGGTCCTGGGGACTGAACTCAGCTTGTCAAGCTTGGTGGCCATGGCCTTAACCTACTGAACCATCTTGTGGCATGCTTTTTTCCTTTCTTCACCTACTTTCAGGAGTCTTTCAGTACAACGTTTAGAAGAACGAAGTGTTGAAATTTAATTAGATAACTCAGTAAGGAGACTACCTTGGGGCCAGAGGAAAAAAACATCAGAAAGCTTATTCTTAGAAATTTGAAGAACTTCTTTATAATGGTTTCAACTCTTAAATGGTGCACACAGTTCAGAAGCACTGTGCACACTCACATATGACACCATCCATCTCCACAACTTTTATATTTTCCTAAACTGGAACTGCCGGCATCTTTTACATTTTTCTTCCCATGGGATTTTTTCTTCCCATTGGATTTGCATATACTCATTTTTAAATTACAGAGACAAATCCTTTGCCTTTCTTCTACTAACTCTATGTGTTAAACTATTCACAGAGATTTTTCAGCAATGTGTTCTGAAATTTAAATTTTTTTCATGGAATGATAAAACTGTAAAATTCTATTAGCAAATCTTATGCTTTCTCTGTTTTCATCCTTGAAATCTTTCACCAAGTCAATGTTTTAATACATTCTCTCTTCTTTGGAGACAGGGTTTCATGTAGCCCAGGCTGGCCTCAAACTTGCTAGGTAGCCAATGATGCCCTCGAGCTTCTTCTGATTCTCCTACCTTCACCTCCTAAATGCTTATAGGTGTGTGCCACCATGTGAGGTTCATGTGCAATCCCAGGTTTATTCCCTGTGGTGGGGACCAAACCCATGGCTTGATGCAACTAGCAGGCACTCTACAAACTCCACCTCTTACATTTTCTTCCAATGTTTTGTTAACATACATTGAAATATTTAATCTATATAAGATTTAGATATATTTTTTCTCCCAAACTGCTAATTAGCTATTCTAATATCAATTATTGGGTTTTCCCTACTGTTCGGTCTCAAATCCTGGGAAAAATAGGCACATCTAACATATCAAAGCAGATCTGGCCACCAGCTTCTCTCAGCCTCCCTCAGTCCCTATTTGTATGGGGTATGGCTGGCTTAACCCGCCCTCTTCCACCTCTGTCTCCTCACATGGCTCCTGGTAATGTCCACTCTAGACTATCCCTCTAGCTATGCTCCCCCTTTTAGCTGCCATAAACACATGTCCTTCCTTTTTTTTTTTTTCCCCACTCACCTACTCATTTAAACGGGTAAATCTTTTCATGCTAAACTTTTGTGCAGGTATTTTAATCTGAGATCGTGCATCTCCGAGTTTCAGTAACACTTTTTTTTTGGTTTTTCGAGACAGGGTTTCTCTGTGTAGCTTTGCGCCTTTCCTGGATCTCATTCTGTAGACCAGGCTGGTCTCGAACTCACAGAGATCTGCCTGCCTCTGCCTCCCGAGTGCTGGGATTAAAGGCGTGCGCCACCAACACTATCTTGTTAGGACTTATTCTCACTACAGTGCATTTCTCTCCACCCTATTATGGTTATTCTGATGGCGGTTGATGACTGTCCATTACACGCAGGTACCATCACTTATTTAACCACCCACTTGTTACTAGACACGGTTAACAGTTGTTGCTCTTTGTACTATGCAAAACACACAGTTTTTGACTGAGTTAAATGAATTCTCTGCTTCACACAGTTTTTGACCGAGTTAAATGAATTCTCTGCTTCAGGGGTTCATGTTGTGGCCACTATCATTCAGTAATTCTTCGGATTAGTTACACTGTATTTTGCCGTGCTCAATAACTCTGAAAGAGGAATTGGCAATAAACATGTCTGTTGGAGGTCTAGGATTAGCAAGGAGAAACCAGGGAACTACACTAGGAGGCGCCGTTTCTCACATCCGGCTCGGTCACTTCCGGGTTACCGCAGGTTGGGGCGGAGCAGGCGGAACCTTTCTGAAGCGCCTCCGGTAAACAAGCGCAGCGGGGACACTTTAGGACAACGCACGCCAGTCTCCGCGTGCTGTCTGCTTGGAGCAGCGCGGGCGGATGTGAACATTCTGTCGACTCCTTCCTTTACCGTGAGTGGAATGGACGTGCTAGCGGAGGAGTTCGGGAGCCTGACCCCGGAGCAGCTGGCTGCGCCGATCCCGACCGTAGAGGTAAGCGCCGTGAGCGCGGGCAGCGGAAGAGGCGACTGAGGAGGCGTTGCCGGGAGAGCATTGGTGCTGGCGGGGGCGGGCCCTAGGCTTCTGCGCATGCTCGGCTGCGCGCGTGCGAGTCTGCGGGGTCTGGATTTCGCGTGTCGAGGGTAGCGTCCCGGGTTTAGAAGCTCCGCGAGTAGCTCTCGGCTGAAGCCTTTCTAGTGCGGGTGTGCACTGGCAAGAATTGGCCCTCGGTTTCTTTTCTTTTTCCGAGACAGGGTTTCTCTATGTAGCTTTGCGCCTTTCCTGGAACTCACTTGGTAGTCCAGGCTGGCTTCGAACTCACAGAGATCCGCCTGGCTCTGCCTCCCGAGTGCTGGGATTAAAGGCGTGCGCCACCTCCGCCCGGCGGCCCTGGGTTTCTTGCCTGGGGAACCAGTATCATCTTGGCGATGTTCATGAGGTCCCACAACCGGCTTTGGTACCAAAAGTAAACGTGAATCCGACGCTGGTTGTCGTGTTCCTTTTAGCCCAGGGTTTCTTTGGACTGCAGACGTATTTTAAGTACCTTGGATATTCCCCCAATTTTTGATCTTGTATTTTCTGAAGGGCCCCTATGGCTCTTTCATCAGATTATCAAAAGTTAAAGGATAATTGCTCCACAATGAACTGCCTGTTGAAATGCAGTTACTGGCATGATTAAATCCATCCTGAGAAGATGCATACAGTCTTTCCGAGCCTTGAAATCTTTGGCATGGGATGGGGGAATTAGGATTGAAGATGGTCAGGGGGTAAATTCAGGCATATGGACAGGCTGTGCCTGACTTTCAGCAGTACTGTCAGGTGTTTCAGAAGAACTGAAATAAATCCAGTAATAGTGGGGGAGGGGAAGAGGTGGCAGAAAAGATAAAGGGTAAAAGGAAGGCTCCTGATTATGAAATGCGTTGTGAGAGGTGTTGGACTATCTCCCTGGAAATAATAAAGTACCTTTGTAGTGTTTAAACGGGGGTGACATGACCAGTAATTGTAGTGAATGGTAAAAACTTTCTTAGAGCCCGGAGAGGTGGCTTAAGGGTTGAGTACTACTGGCTGCTCTTCCAGAGGACCCAGTTTGTTTCCTGCTATCACGCTTAAACAGGCTGTTGCACATAAACGGGGCGTGGGGGCACACGACTTTAATCCCAGCATTTGTGGTGTAGAGGTAGGAGGCTCAGTGGCGCAGAGGGAGTTCCAAAATTCTCTAAGAGAAAATACACAGTATTTGCCTTTGTGTTTAGCTTATTTCACAATGTTTCACTACTTCTAATCAACGGAATATGCTCACAGGCATGTCTCCTGTACTTCATGCAGCTAAGGGTAGTTAAGAATGTGGCCCAATACAAAACTGTAAACTTATGAGGATATTTTCTTTTTAAAAATTTTTTGGTATGGTCCTCAGGTGTGAATTTTGTAGATCACAGTGTTGTAGTACAGTGTTAATGTAGAATCTCCTTGATATTCCTCACAGTTGTCCTTAGCTGCTGCATTGGGTCTCTCAACCTCTTCCACACAGACCACTATGGTGCTTTCTGATTTTTGTGTCCCCAACCCTTGACTCAGCATTTGAGCCATAGTACACCAGCTCACCATAGTACACGAGCTCACCGGGACCTCCTATCAGGAACCTCCTATCATCTCATCCACTGCCTTAAGTCTCTTCAGTGTACCCACCCTCCTCACCATGTCTAAGCCATAGCAAGGCACACACACCCTCAGTGTCCTCAACCCTGCCAGCTCCTTTAACCCATGTGGGCTTGCTCCTTCTATTTGGAATGCCTCCCTCATACATCCACCATGTCAAGGCATCCCAGTCCAGCTGCCATGTATAATCTATCGCTCTGCATCCTTTTATCCCAACACCTCCCAGGTGTCATTCCACTTGTATACATGTCTCCCCTACTAAGCTAATGGCTTCTGAAGTCAGGAAGCATGTCCATTTGTTTACTTGTTTAAGTTGGTAAGACACTACCAATAAGTACTCAACAAGATCAACAAGTGTTTGTTCACCTTATCAATCAGTAATAACTGGCCCCAAAGCTTGAATAACTCCTACCATGCTATAATATGAAGGAAAAAAGTACTAGAAATTATTAATTCAAATAAAATGGTATTCTTGTCTAGAAGTTGTAGAGGGGATATAAGTTGGAAAGTTGAGTAGTAAATAGCTCAGCTAAAAGGGAATGACGTTTTCTTTAATTAGGCACATATTGCTCTGATAAGTACTGTTCAGATTAATCTTCATTAGTTATGAAATTGTAGTTTACTTCACAAAACTAAATGAGAATTTATACAAAATCAGTATAAGTAAGTGCAATGTCAATTTCTGAATCTCCAGTGTCATTCTGGGCCGTTCTTTGCAAAGCCAGTAACATTATTCATTCAGGAAAAATGCCAAGACCGAGGACCCCACTACAGGGAATAAGACTGGGAAAAACAACTAAGTGTTAGAAACACAAGGGACTGTGGCAGATACTGGAGGAAGGAGGCAGTACCTTCCTAAGGAAGTCATGATGGATACCCAGAATTTAATCTACAAATAGGAACGAGGGAAAAAACAGAAGAAAGTAGAAGCATACAAGTGAAAAGATCTCAGAGCCACTAGAATAAGCAGTGGTGGCCAGGGTTTTGGTGGCACACGCCTTTAATCCCAGTGCTTGAGAGGCAGAGCCAGGTGGATCTCTGTGAGTTCGAGGCCAGCCTGGTCTACAGAGTGAGTTCCAGGACAGGCACCAAAACTACACGGAGAAACCCTGTCTCGAAAAACAAAACAAAAACAAACCCAAAAACAAAAATCTTATTTCTTTTATAGCTGGGTGGTGATGGCACACACCTTTAATCCCAGCAGTCGGGAGGCAGAGGCAGGCAGAGCTCTGTGAGTTCGAGGCCAGCCTGGTCTACAAAGCAAGATCCAGGACAGACTCCAAAGCTACACAGAGAAACCCTGTCTCAAAAAACCAAAAAAAAAAAAAAAAAAAAAAAAAAAAAAAAAAAAAAAAAAAGCAGTGGTGGGAAGAGGCTGGAGAGATAGCCCTGGGCAGATTTTGATTTTATCCTGTGTTTAGTCACTGACCTGTTGCTATGAGGAGACATCATGACCAAAGGCATCTCTTCTAATAGAAAGCATTGAATTTGGGCCAGGTGGCGGCAGGGGCGCACGCCTTTAATCCCGACCCCTGTGCGTTCAAGGCCAGCCTGGTCTACAGAGCGAGGACAGGCACCAAAACTACACAGAGAAACTCTGTCTCAACTCCCCCCGCACCCCCCAAAAAAGAAAGCATTGAGTAGGGGCTTGCTAGCAGATTCAGAGGTTAGTCCACTGTCATGATGGGGAGCATGGTGCTGAAGAAGTAACTGAAAGCTTTACATCCTGGTCTGTATGCAGGCAGATGGAGAGAGAGACTGGGCCTGGCATGGGCTTTTGAAATCTCAAAGGCCACCTACAGTGGCACATCCTCCAACAGGGCCACCCCTCCTAACCCTTTTAATACTTTCAGACAGTTCCACTCCCTGGTGACTAAGCATTCAAATATATGAGCCTCTAGGTCCATTCTTTTAGCTGTCTTAGAACTCACTCTGTAGACCAGGCTGGCCTCTGCCTCCTGAGTGCTGGGATTAAAGGCTTGCGCCACCACCACTCAGGCTCCTCTGAGTCCATTCTTGTTCAAACCACCACACCCTAAGTAAGTGCAATGGGCGGTGCATTCCTAAATTGAAAAGTATTTCATGGAATAATAATAATGTTTAGAATTCCATTACCAAATCTGTGCTTTCTCTTTGTAACCATCCTGAGTTACTGTTGTTGATGCATTCTCTCACTCTTCTTTGTGGAGACAGGCTTTCATGTAGCTCAGGCTAGACGTGAATTTATATAGCCAAGGCTGATCCTGAACTCCTGATTCTACTTCATCTCCTAATTGCTAGAGCTATAGACCTGAGCCACCATGCCTGGCTCAGAGGTTTGAATAGTTTTAAGAGAAATAGCCAATAGAGAGGTGATAGAGGACACATCCAGGAGTTGGGGTGATTAAGTAAGGGAGGGTTTCCCATTTTTCTAGGGGAGATCAGAAAGTATGTGTTTGTGGCCGATAGTGAGCTTTCCACTATGGACTGTGGACTCCTGCCTTTGAGACAGGTGCCCCCTGGGCACCCAGGGGGAATTTTGAAATGTGGGAGCAGAAAATTAAAAAGTTAGATTAGTATATAGGGTTGCTGAAACAAGTACCACAACTTAAGAGCATAAAAAAACAGGTTTAATTTCTCACATTTCTGAAGGCTGGAAGTCCAAGATCAAGCTCAAAGCAGGGCCTGGGAACAGTTCCGTTGCAGGCCTCTTCCCTGGTGTCTGCTGGTTTACAGACAGTCTTTGGTGTGTCTTTTGCATACAGAAGTATCACCCTGACATCTGTCTTCATCTTTACACGACAATGTCCCTGAATGTGTCTGTCCAGATTCCCCTTTGTTATGTGGGCAGCAATCATCTTGGACTAGAGTTCATCCACTGACACCTTCTGCACTGGTCTACATCTTCCACAGTCCTGTAGGCCAGGTCACCCAGAAGTCAGCACAGGAATTTCATTCAATCTGTAATTGTTTGTTCTTTTTCTGTTTAATCAGATATAGTGTAACATAATGTTGCACAGATACTGAGTGTTGGTTGCTTTGGTTTTGATACTTGCAGATACCCAAACAACTGTTACCCAATATATGCTCTAGAACATTTTCTTCACCCCAAAAGGTTCTCTTACAATCTTTTCAACCCTCTCCCCCCCCCCCCAAAAAAAAAAGCAAACCAAAAACCATTTTTACTTTCTGTTGTCAAAGACTGGCTGGCTTGCTTTCTGGGCCTCCCCACATCCTCATTTCTAGATGTTAGAAATTCTTGACCTCTCTGTCTCTGTCTCTGTCTCTCTGTCTCTCTGTCTCTCTGTCTCTCTCTCTCTCTCTCTCTCTCTCTCTCTCTCTCTCTCTCTCTCTCTGTGTGTGTGTCTGTCTGTCTCTCTGTCTCTGTGTCTCTCTCTCATCCACACCCAGCATCCAGAGTGATCCAGTTAAGATGCAGGAGGCTATCATGTCAGAACTTTGTAGTGCCACTCAGGTCTCCCAAGTTAAAACCAGTCTCTGTGTTTGCCATACAGCCCTGGGTTGTCCATAGGCCTTTCCTTTGGAACTGAGATAAGTGGAAAGAGGCTGTCATGGTCTGTAGTAGTCTGCAAGGCAAGTCATAAAACAGTTAGGAGTCCTTCAGTGGAGGAGCAAACACCCATGTGAGCTGACCGCCCCCAGAATCCTTGAGGTAGCTTGGCTTCAGTAAGAACTCTGATTCTCCTACCACATTCAGACAAACTACAGGCCTCACCTAGGATGTGCTGTGAGAATAAATGTGAAAAGTATTTGGGAATCTTGTCATCAAGCAGAGGTTATGTGTAGGGAAACCTGTGAGACATGTGTATGTGTTTATATGCAATATAATATTTTATATTATAAAACTTGGCCCTTTTGGTTTACTTCTTCCTGTGTACTGTGATAAACTTGGTACATCAAACTAATTGTGTTTTGTGGTTACTGGCATAGAGTTCTCATGTTCTTGTTGTTTGGTCCACAGGAAAAATGGAGGCTGCTGCCAGCATTTTTAAAGGTAATTATTTGTTTGACATTTAATGATAATTGGTTATTTATCACACAGTAAGTCACTAGATGGTCTTGTTAATTTTTTCCCTAACTAAATGTGTTTATTATTCTTTCCCTTACTTGTATTTGGGAAACATCACCAGTTACCTGTGGCCAGAGTGACTCTGTTACCTGCAGCTTATCGCCATCCTCTCTTCTCTCTCTGTTCAGGTGAAAGGCCTTGTGAAACAGCACATAGACTCCTTTAACTATTTCATTAATGTAGAGGTAAGCACCCAGGATGAAAATCAGACGTAAATTGAGGACCATTTGGAAGTCAGAGTTCTGCCCCTAACCTTGCGCTTTCTACTGCAGATTAAGAAGATAATGAAAGCCAATGAAAAGGTTACAAGCGACGCTGACCCCATGTGGTACCTAAAGTAAGAAACTAGCTACTCTTAAATAATATTCTGACTGTTTTCTAAGTGCTAAAGTTGTCAGATCTCTTATATAACCATTATTTTAGCTGTTTAGTAAACTAGTTATAAAGTGTTCATTTTTAGCTTTTAATTATAAATCATTGTAAGTACAATTTTAATTGAAAAGTTACTAAAACTGTTTTAATTCTTCTAAGCAAGCTTTTCTTTTGATGAATTTTAGATCTAGAAAAGTTGTTAAAAACAGAAAAAGTGCTCAGCATCCTTTGCACAGCATATGTTACTACATTGTATGTGATCAGACAGCAATCTTCAGAACACAAAGTTAATTGCTGGAGTGCTGGCGGCTGAACTTTAGGCCTGACTTGGTGTTTTTCCCATTTATGTCCTATTTCTTGTGCCAGAATCAGTCCCTAGCCCCATATTAGGCTATCTTTCAATTGTTAATCTCACCGAACAAGAAAATAACATCGAACATAGGAGAAAGTGGGGTTCATATAGCCCCCAGAACTGCAAGACTGGGAGGTTTTCAAAGGTTGGGGGATTTCCAGATGAATTTTGGTTACTTAGGAACTTGGCTGAACATTTCAAAATTATTTAGCAGAACATCTTATAAGGGTGGGGATCAGGGTATAGGGTGTAGAACATGTCAGATTCCAGAAAATGGGTCAAGACCTGATCAAACCCAAGTTTTACAAAAAACAGGGATGAACTTACTTTGACCTTGATTAGAAAGAGGATGGATTCAGGATGTTCCAGGTGCACCACTATTTCTATGTGTGTGTTTATGTACAGCTGAGTGCAAGTGCCCTTGGAGGCCAGAAGAGGGCATCAGATCCCCTGGAGCTGCCTGAGGTGGGGCTGGGGACCCAACTTTAGGTCCTCTTCAAGTGCTCTTAAATTGTCAAGGCATCTCTCCAGCCCCGACATTGTCTTGGTCTCTTAGTCTCCGGATTCTGATAGTCCTTGGTCTTGCCTGGTGTTTCTTGGCCATGATACTTTTGAACAGTCTGACCACATTTTGCAGGGGGCCCTTCTCAGTATTTGGTACTTGACCATCATTAGAGTAAGTTATGCATTTTTAGCAAGACACCTTACAGTGTTTTGTGCCATTTTTAATGATTCATGTCAGAGGATACAATTGTCAACATCTTTTATTGCTGGTGATTTTAACACTGTTTTCTTGGTTAATATAGTGCCTGTCTTTGAGAATTCTCCATTGTAAAGATATTCTTTTCTCTTTATGTTAAGTACCTATGGGGAGATCCTTTAGACAATGCAAATATCAATATTTCTACCACTAATTTTATTTAATTCTTTAAAAAAAATTCACTGTGCCTAAGATTGAACCCCAAACTTTGTGTTTTCGAAACAAGTGTTCTACACTGATTTTAATGTACATTAATTCTTATCCATAATGGTTACTACTATGTGATAATTATAAGTCTCTCTTCCATTATCCCTTCTGTTTTTAATGTTCCCATGCCCTCATTGTACCTTTCTGTATATTACTTTATATGAGTCTAGGCTCATAGATTTTTTTTTTTTTTTCTGTTGTTATTATTCTCTTGCTTATATTATCCTAGCTTTGCTGTAGGGAAATCCTTCAGCTTGACTCCATGCCCTTTCAAAATGTGCTCTCATGATATTTCAACTACTTCTGTACTTTCTGGAACCATAGGATATACTTTATATTTGTTGGTTTTTTCCGTGTCCCCATCAGGTGGCTATTCTGTTGTGAGAAGGTAGTACTTGTAGATCAACATATGGACACTAAGGCAGGCAGCATGAGCAAATACATGTACACGTACTAACACATTCATGCACACATCTATGTCCTGTCCATTTTGTTTATATTAGAGACTTCAGACTGATGCCCCTGGTTCTCAGCCAGCAGTACCAACTCATCCCAACAGTCTTCCTTTCCTTATTTCCTGACAGTGAGAAATGTGACTCATATATTCATAATTTTTTAAAATTTTAGCCTCTTGTTATACACAAAGTAATCTCAGGATCACTGATAGGTCTGCAGGAAGAGCGTTCACTAGCTGGAGGACAGTTGTACACCATTCTTCCTGTCTTCAGCCTGACAGGATACAGTCAAACTGCTGTTTCCAAGGATGCTGTTCTTCCTTTCTATTCTAGTGCAGTTACATTATTCCATGGTAATTCAGTCATGTTTGTACTTGATTCATGGTTAATTTCAATTATATGCTTTTTGGCTGCATCAAAATACTGTCATTAGAAGAGTTAGATCTTTGCCAAACAGAATCTTCAAAAGTTGTTGCTTCCTTCTGAGTTCTTTTCACCCAGTTTCTAACCACATCATTAGTTCCCCATTACCCTCCCTCCTTTTACACCGATGAACATTTATTTTCATCTCTTAAGTCCTCCTTCTTGTTTAATACAACAAAAACTTGAATGCTCACATAGCACAGGCAATGCCTCACACATTGTTGTTCCATTGGGCATTACTTATATAGAACCAGCTCTAGTATTTTTCTAATAAAACCTGCATTATATCTTCTTCTCCTTTTTATTCCTTGTGTCTTTCTCATCATGCATTTCCATCTCATTCATTTCCCCATCCATTTGTATTCACCCTCTGCCTTTGCAACCTCCCCTACAAAATAAAATAAAATTTAAGAGAAAAAAAATTAGTCTTGTTATGGAAACTGTAGTATGACACAGTGAGTTACACAGTAAACCCTTTTATCCATATATTTTTACTTGCAAGTGTTATCTGCATTATTTTTTAAAGGAGAGCAGAGGGATGGTTATGTGGATAGTGTGCTGAATTTGGATCCTAGGCCCTCATGTAAAAGCTGGGTGCAGCAGTGTATACATCTGACCACAGCACTGGGGGGATGAAGACAGGCATGTTACAGAGCTTGAATGTAACTAACTCAGTTAATTCATGTTCAGTGAAAGACCCTGTCTCAGAAAATAAGGTAGAGGTGCTGGAGAGACAGCTCAGCAGTTAAGAGCACTAATTGCACTTGCAGAGGACCTGGGTTCAGTCTCCAGAACCCACATGATGGCTGACAGCCCTGTGTAACTGCAGTTCCCAGGGAGCCAGTGCCGTCTTCCGGCTTCTGCCGGCACCATGCATGCACACAGTGTGTTTTCAAAAATAAATCTTTAAAAATACATAGTGTAGATGTAACCAACCGTCTTATTAAATAAGAAACACAGAGCCGATTCAGGGAAGAAGGCCAAGAGGTCAGAGCTAAGAGCCTCACCCTTCCTGCTTCAGCGATCCTCTTCAGTCAAGAGAGCTCTCCGAAAAGGGCCTGCTACCTGTGTGTATGTCTTTATATAGTCTAGCTGTTCTGCCTTCTCATTGGTTGTAAACCCAAACACGTGACTGCCTCGTCACTGCCTGTATGTACCGCCCTCCAGGTCCTTAAAGGCGTGCGCCACCGCCGCCACGCACTTGCTATGGCTCTAATAGCTCTGACCCCCAGGCAACTTTATTTATTAACATACAATTAAAATCACATTTCAGTACAAGTAAAATACCACCACAACATAGGGTGAAAAGCAATGGAGACAGCAGCCTAGCATTAATGTCTTGTCTGCAGTGCACCTGTGCACACACATGTACGTATCCATCACACACACACACACACACACACACACACACACACAGAGCGCAGAAATACTTTGATAGCATTTCCTCTTTTTTTAAAGCTGTATGAACTATCGCTTCAAGAAGATGTCAGTTCTCACTTTTTCTTGTCATCCTCAACAAGGGAGGCACTTTTCAAAGACTGATGGACACTTGTGTGTGTTCTTTAAAGACATAAATTGATGAAATAAAATTGCCTTTCAGATATCTTAATATCTATGTTGGACTTCCTGATGTTGAAGAAAGCTTCAATGTAACGAGACCAGTGTCCCCCCATGAGGTACTGTGCATCTTACCTTACTTGAACTTGTTCGTTTTACCTAGAGTCTGCTCTTAATGTATATTCTTGAGATTGTTTTAATTGAAACTGGGTCCTCTGGAAGAGCAGCCAGTGCTCTTAACCCCAAGCCATTCCTTCAACCCCAAATAAGCAATTTTTATTGGTCAGGAATAGAAAACTTAAAGTTTAAAATCTCAGACATTGTTGTAAAAGTTAAAAGAAACTTAAACCTGACTTTCAGTAGAAGCCACAGACGAGATTTAACAGCAAGAATTGGCTAATGTTCGGAGAAACTCTCTTTTGAAGCTATAAACCACTATGTCAGTATAATGTGTCAGTAACTGTCAGTATAATAATGTGAAGGCACTGGAGAGTCTGCGTGTGCTTTCTCGTGGCTCAGCCAAAGATATCCTTTAGCTTGTTATCACATCAAGCTAACACATGTCCCAGCAAGTTCTAGAATCCCCCTGATGATTCAGAAGTTGGTAGAGTGGTGTGATGAATGGTTTGTGTATAATGATCTCTTGATAAGGTGTTTTGTGATATAGTTTACACACACATGCATGCACACATACTTTTCTTACCTTTATGATTGTTAACCATTTTAAACAGTATAACCAGCCACATTAATTAGTTTCTATGGATGGATTTGCAAGGAATAATCTGATTGCTGTAATGATGTGGAAACTAGTCATTTGTACCAGGTTGATGAGAAGAAAAGTGCTCCTAGGATTATTGTTCCATCTTTGGACTTCAGGACCAGGGATGCTATATCAATATGTAGGCCAATACATGATGTCATCCATTTCCTGGGGAAAGTAGACTTGAGGGAAGTTCAGTTTGGTGTGGACCATAGTGGGAGCGCTGAAGGAAGAGGGGCAATAACTGTGATTTGTTCCAGTGCCGTTTGAGGGACATGACGTACTCTGCCCCCATCACAGTGGACATTGAGTATACCCGAGGCAGCCAGAGGATAATCCGCAACGCCTTACCCATTGGCAGGTGAGAAGTGAAGTTGCTGTTGGAGCCACTGCCTGGAAATCAGCCCCATAATGCGATCTTAAGCAAATTAATAAGTCCTCTTGCCTGGCTCCCTCATCTGAAGTGTGCTGGAAGCAATACCCATCTCATGGAATTACTTTTTGGATCTTTAGATGAAGGGCCAGGCAGAGCTGTGGTTCCTAGTAATTGTAGAACATTTTGTAAAGCTGAGGAAAATGCTTCTCTTTTCTTTTCCTAACACCAGCAGTGAGCGCTTAGTAGGTCAGTTAGGTGACGCCATCAATAAGTGCTTAGTACGTCAGTTAGGATTTCATTGACTTCTCCTGCACTGGGCTTCTTGCTGTATCCTGTGTGTAGTTTCCCTAGACATTTATTTATGTGTAGCAGTAGTTATGGAAGAAGTTTGAAATACAATGGATAGGGTCAGCTAGGATTTTTGGAATGTATTTTTTCTAATTAGGGACATATGTTGAGTCTTCTGTAGAAATTGTTATGAATTTAAAATGTTTTTGGTTTTCTTGAGGTATCTAGATTTTTTTAATTTGTTGGGGAATGTAGCTCATTTACATCTATCATACACACATACTGTTTACATGTATAGAAGTATATATTCACACATATTTCTGTCAGTGTATTCTGTACTTGAAACTTTTCCAACTCTGAATTTTTATGTTTTCTCCTTTGCTCCACTTTGGGTTAATGGGAGTTCCTTTCTTTCTTCTACCTGCTCTGAAAGACATGTGTATCATTACTGTCTGTGTTACTTTAGAATTAAACACATAACTTAACAAATTTTGAGTATAATATCTTTATTTTTCTTTTAGGAAGAGTAACCTCTCAGAGGGCTTTGACTTGGGTCAAATCCTTGACTTTGGTTATGCCAAGTTCCTCTTGTCTTGTGTTTTAACCCATAAATTCAAAATCGTCGTTGTATAAAGTTAACATTTAGTTATATTTCTGTGTATTTGTTTTTGTTTTCTTTTTTTAAAGATTTACTTTTATGTGTATAGGTGTTTTATCTACATGTATGTATGTATGTGTACTACATGTGTGCTTTGTTCCGAAAGAGGGCAAAAGACAGCGTCAGATCCCCTAGAACTGGAGTTGGAGATGGTTGTGAGCATCATGTGGGTGCTGGAAACTGAAGCGGAGTCCTCTGGAAGAGTAGCTAGTGCTCTGGACCACAAGTCATCATTCCAGCCCCTTGCAGTTTTTCATGTCAGACTTTGGTTTGGTGTTTATTTTCCATCTTCTGAAGATGGAAACTTTCTTCTAGAAATTTCATTAGTGAGGGTCTTATTATTTTTAAGTTCATATCTGAAAACATCTCTACGTGACCTCCATGTGGTACTAACAGAATACCCAGATGTAGGTTGTTCTTTCTCTGTTGAGTGCTGTGAGTCCACTCAGTTCTCCTTCTGGTAATCTGCCTTTGCTCCTGTTTTATACCCTCTCTTCCACTTTGCCGTGTTGTGTGTTTAGGTGTGGCCCTTTGTTTATTCTGTGTAGATAGTACTGTGAAGGCTCTCACACATCTTTAAAATCCACAGCCTCTTTCCCTGTGAGTAAGTTTGTCTAGAAGGCTGAATAGGTGTGCTTTAGACCGTCTTGCTCTTACGTGGTGGTTATACTCTTTCATAGAGTCCACCTCTTAGTCTTCCTAAAACAACATTCTTGATAATTTCTCCCACTTAGTAATTCTCTCCTCAGCTGTGTCGTTGTTGTTATCCAGCACAGTTGTAGAGTTTTGTTATCTGTGCCAGACAGTGTGTCTGGGAAATCTTTGGTTTCCCTTGGCTCTCTCATGGAATCTTCTAACATCTTCTGACCATCTTCTAACATGGTACCCAGAGATGCAGGCCCCTCCTCGTGTGTTCACTGCGTTTTTTACGCCTCAATCTGTGCAGAATAACTTTCTTTTGTTTTACTTTAAACAGAATGCCCATCATGCTACGAAGTTCAAACTGTGTGCTGACGGGGAAAACTCCAGCAGAGTTTGCCAAGTTGAACGAATGTCCATTGGACCCAGGTATGTGTGATGACTGGGGTGCCCTCTTCCCCCTCTCCTTGCTCTGTCCTTTTTCCTGTTATTCTGTCTGCTGTAGCCTTTCTGCCTTCCATTGAACTGGTTGGAAAACTGTGTTCATAAACTTCTGGAGATTTGGCACCAGCTTTATTCTAGATTTCTAAAAATACGCGATTCTTTTGTTAGCTTTAACATTTTAGTAGCTTACCCTCTGACTTATTGCCAGGGCTTGTTCTTTCTTTTTGCCTTTGTTCAGTAGTTTCTTTTGATAGACTTGAAATTGGAGACTCTAACAAAGTTACTGTCTAAGCTATTCTGAGAAGACCCCAGTAGATAACTAGTCTGTGTTAAATGTAGTAAAAGGAGGAAAATGAAAACATTTTTGCTGTTGTTTAGGCTCTTAAAATTTATATTTTTGTGCTGATTTCTAGACTATTTTTGATAAGAATTTCAAACAACAGAACACAAAGTTTCTCCAAATGCCTTTAAATTCACTTATAGTTGCTTTGCTGGAACTCCTTGCATCCAGGAGGATTTTGTTGTTGTTTGTTTGCTTATTTGGTTGTTTTTAAGGAGACATGGTCTCACGTAGCACAGGCTGGCCTTAAACTTACTATGTAGCTAAGGCTGACCTTGATCACCTGATCCTCTTGCCTATACCTCCCAAGGGCCGAGCTTACAGGCCTGAGCTACCTCACCTGGTTGCTTTTAGAAAGAAATAGTAAAAACCTTACTTTGCTAGATTCTAACCAAGTTTTTCATAAGTTAAATGTATTTCCTTGGCTTTGCTTATATTTTTCAGATAAGACAAAATCTCATTCTGTATGATTCCTGAAGTATGTGAAAAAAATATCTAATAATGGCCCATGAGTTTTATTCAGTATAAACATATTTACTCAATATAAACCTAATCATGTTCTACTATTGTTCCTGATGTGTTAGAAAAGTTGGAGCAAGTGTCAGTTCCATTGAAGATCCCAGGTTATTCCTGTGCTTAAGAGATCTAAAGATCCATCTGTTTAATACATTTTTTGTTTCATTTGCCTGGTATACCTGTTGGCTTGGTAAAATATGTGGATGTTACAGATTGTTTCTCTGTTACCATGGTACACACCTTGACCAAAAGAAGGTTGGCGGGGAAGGGGTTTATTTGGCTTACACTTCCAGGTCACAGTCTGTCATTGAGGAGTTCAAGCAGGAATTGAAGCAGAAACCACAGAAGAAGGCTGCTTTCTGACTTGCTCCCAGGCTCCTGTTCCTCTGCCTTTCTTATGCAGCACAGGCCCACCTGCCTGAGGAATGTACTGCCCATGTGGGCTGGGCCTTCCCATGTCAGTGAGCAACCAAGACAGCGCCCCCTGGACATGCCTGCGGATGCTCTGACGAAGGCAGTTCTTCAGTTGAGGTTCCCTCTTCCCACAGCAAAATTAACCAGTACCTTCACCCCTTGGCAGCTTGACACACAGACACGTCACTGTTAAACCACAAGTTTTTCCTTCTGCCTTGTTCCCAATATCTCATGTTAATATCATAATACAAAATGCAGTACAACCTTCAAAGCCCCACAGTCTTTAAAAACTGCAGTGCTTTAAAGGTTCAATGTCTCCTTAAAAATTCAAAGACTCTTAATTCATGCACCTCTATAAAACCCCAACAAATTATATACTTCCTTACTCTAAGAAGGAGGACAGGGCACAGTTGCAGTCAGATCAAAGCAAAATCAAAATCTAACAATGTAAAAAGTTCAGTGTCTGACATCTGAGATGCAGTCATGTTCTTTTTTTTGTTTTGTTTTTTGTTTTTTGTGGTTTTTCTTTTGTTTTGTTTGTTTTTTGAGACAGGGTTTCTTTGTGTAGTTTTGGTGCCTGTCCTGGCTCTTGCTCTGTAGACCAGGCTGGCCTCGAACTCACAGAGATCCACCTGGCTCTGCCTCCCGAGTGCTGAGATTAAAGGTGTGTGCCAGCACCACCCAGCCCGTACTCATGATCTTCTGGCTCCGGAAGGCTCGGACTACTCCCTTTCTCTGGATCTGCCATCTGCAGCACACATAGCTGTCACAAAGTACAGACCAGCTCTACTGCACACCGCCACTGACCTTGGTGGACTTCCCATGATCCAGGCATCTCCAGCATCTTGAGTCTCCACTTCAGCTGAGGCTTCACTTTCACCAGTGGCCTCTCCTGGTCCCTCTTTTCCTAGTGCCAGGCCTCAGCTTCTCTTCATGACTCCTTCAGTCCTGCAGCTTTGACGCTGCCAAGCCACTACCACGTAGAAGACTCTTAACATTGTCAAGTTCTGCTGTCAGCTTAAGATGCAGCCCTGGTCCCTTCTGGACCACAGCTTCTGTGTGCTTACACTGAGGACATCCTTCCCAGAGGATCTCTCATCACTGATGTTGGTCTCTCATTAATCACCACTGTTTCTCCTTCCCAGGCAGCCAGCCTCCCTGTCTCAGTAAAACAGAAGGTTTCACTTCCACAGATTCTTAAGGAAAAATACCACACAGTCAGTCCTGATGGAGCGTTTGCTTCCCTCTGAGTCTACAAGCCAGTCTACAAGGTCCCATTGTCTGCCTTTTCAGTGTTCTTACTGTCCAGGTTTCCACGGAACAACCTATTATTCTCTGAGCACTCAGTGGCTTTTCTAGCCCCAAGTTCCAGATGCTTCTCCATAGTCCTCCTCAGACCAACATGGCCAGGTCCACCACAGGAACACCCACTGCTGGTCTAATTCCTGTCTTCTTTCCTGTTGCTGTGATAAACACTATGACCAAAGCAGCTAGAAGAGAGATTTACTTAGCTTCTCTTCCAGGTCATAATCTCTCATTGAGCGGAGTTAGTTCAGGAGCTCAAGCGGGAACTGAGGCAGAAGCCATGAGGGACACTGCCGTCTGGCTTGCTCCTGGGCTTACGTTCATCTCTCTTATGGCTCAGGCCCATCTGTCTAGGGAGGGAACAGTGGGCGAGGCCCTCTTACATCAGTTAGCAATCCAGACACTGCCCCATAGACATGCCCACCAGGCCCACAAGACGGAGGCAGCTCATCAGGTGAGGTTCCCTCTTTCTAGTGTGTCACCTTGACAACAACGCTAGCCAGGACAGCAGACCAGTCAGACACACTGTCTTCTGGAGGTGTGTCAGCTCTGGTCCCTCTGTGTGAAGCCATGTGCTCATACTGTCATCCATTCACAACTCAGGGTCACAGCTCCTTCAAGTGAGTGGATGCTGGTGCCCGAAGGAATGATCATAGGCATGACTGTAATCTGGGCACTGGAGAGGCAGGTGCAGGAGGCTCAGGGCCAGTCTGTATTGGCACTGGAGACCTCCTCACCTGCTCACAGGAGGCTCAGGGCCAGTCTGTATTGGCACTCTGGAGACCTCCTCACCTGCTCACAGGAGGCTCAGGGCCAGTCTGTATTGGCACTCTGGAGACCTCCTCACCTGCTCACAGGAGGCTCAGGGCCAGTCTGTATTGGCACTGGAGACCACCTCACCTGCTCACACTGGTTGCAGGAGAGCTGGTGAGCTTTTCTTGTTTCCTTTGGGCAGGCGGCTACTTCATTGTTAAAGGAGTCGAAAAAGTCATTCTTATCCAAGAGCAGCTGTCCAAGAACAGGATCATCGTGGAGGCGGACAGGAAAGGGGCCGTTGGAGCTTCGGTTACCAGGTATGGGGAACAGACGGCGTTCTTCAAAATTCTAATCATTTCAGCAATAGTGGGTGGTTGCCTTCTCCTGTGGTGGGGACAGTATTTCTCTCAATAGAAGATAGTGTATATAAAACTCACCTGTTGTGTAAGTCTATAAACACAATATTGATTTCAGTATTGGAAAGGTAAGGTGGCATTTGGAAGGACACTAGTTAATTTGTGTACTTTATTAATTTATAGCATTAAATTAAGAAACTTTTAAAGAAAAAACACAAAAGCACTCCTGAAGGTTTTCACACTCCTCTTCAGGCTTTTTGTAAGCAAGGACTGTTGTCTGTATTATTGCCTGGATTGTACCGTGGACTCTGCATGCTGTCGTTAGCGGTCCAGACTGGCGTTTTCATAGCACACCTGTCATCTACAGCAGCAGTGCCCTGTAGGACTTCCGCAACTTCTGTTCTCATGAGGTTTGAAACGTGAGGGTATGGGAGCAGGAGGATTGTAGCATAGGTAAGATGTCAGTGGGCAGGAGCTTCTCTTCCTGTGGCCTTACTGACCCGTTAGCCTAGGGGTTTGCAGGCTTCTTTCCAATGGAGAGGCAGCTAACAATAATGACCACTTTCTGCTCACCTAAGACTTAATAGGAACCAGTCAGTTTCTGTGGTATATTATGTGTTTTAATTGTCACCACATTCCTTCAGGATAAATGACACTGTTTCCATTTCATAACTAAGCTCAGGGTCACCTTGATTGTAAAAGGTCCTCAGTATCCATCTCTTTGAACTGTACACAGTTTTGGAGCCATAGCACTCTGGTTTGGATCCAGAAGGTCATCTTTCTGTCTGGCGCTGCGGTGGGTAGTCACTTAGCTTCTCAGAGTCTCGGTTTGCTGGGATGTGGTTTAGAGGGAGCGCTCAGTAAGTGTTGTCATGTGGGGATTAGAACTCATGTGCCACACGGCATCAGCGTAGTAGGCACTTAATATGTGCTACTGTCACGGTTGAAAAGGGCTTTTGAAATGTTTTAAGTCTGTTAGGAATCTCATACCAGAGACACCGATAGAAGGAGCTAAATTAGGATAACTTTTCGTTTCACTGTGTGCCGAAACTGTGGGGAACAAACTTGTATTGCTAATTTTAAAACCCATTTCTTCTTAGAATGTGGGCTGGTCCATTTTGAGATTTTTCTCTTCAAGGAAAATCAGTCATGAATATATGCCCTACATTGGATCAAAGTAATTCAGGTAGAATAAAAGTGAAAGAAGTGAAAAGCTGGGCACTGTGGCACGTAACTGTAATCTTTGCTCTCAGGAGGCACAAGGAGGAGCAGGGGTTCAAGATCATCCTTACGTAGCAAGTTCAAGGCCAGCCTGCTCACGAGCCCTTTCCTCAAGATCCAGCCAGCAGCACACAAGGGACAGGGAAGGGAGACTAGGTCAAAGGCTGGAAGCCATCACCAGCCACAACAGTTCCACCGTAATGGACCGTGAAGAAACAGCTGCGGTTTTTTTTTTTTTTTTTTTAAAGATTTATTTATTTTTTATGTATTTAGCATGTATGACTGCAGGCCAGAAGAGGGCACCAGATCTCATTACAGATGGTTGTGAGTCACCATGTGGTTGCTGGGAATTGAACTCAGGACCTCTGGAAGAACAACCAGTGCTCTTAACCTCTGAGCCATCTCTCCAGCCCAGCTGCGGTGTTTTTAAGTGTTCACAGAAGTGCAGAAAGTTGTCTGCCTTTGAAAGCCAATTAATTAGGGATGATTTTACTTGTTGAGCAGCTGAACCCAACTGGCTAAGGATAGTTGCTGTTGGAGCTCCTGGGTCGGGATGTAGTGTAACTGGATTGTGTTTCCTCGTAGCTCCACCCACGAGAAAAAAAGCAGAACCAACATGGCTGTGAAGCAAGGACGGTTTTATCTGAGGCACAACACTTTGTCTGAAGATATACCCATTGTCATCATATTTAAGGTAAAGGCTGCAGCCCTCTTTCTGAAACTAGAAAGAATTTCTCTGCTTTCTTCTTTATTAATTAAAATTTTTATCACATTTTATTTATTTTTATGTACATGTGTGTGATTGTTGACGTGTGTTTGTGTGTGTGTGTGTGTGTGTGTGTAGGCCAGAGGACAAACTATAGAAGTCAGTTCTCTCCATCCATCACGTGGACTCCAGAGGAGCTCAGCTCATCAGGCTTGGCAGTAGCACCTGTACCCACTGAGCTATCCCACCAGCCCTAGAGTGTGGGTTTTCATATAGAATTAGGTAAGGTAGAGTTAGGCAGGCAAGGGATTCTGGGAATAGGAAGTTGTATGTTCATCTGTTTTCTTTGGTTTTTAGGAGATACCAGAGTGTACAAGGGCAGAGTGACCCTTTCTCCCCCTCTTCCTAACCACACGGTGCTACCTAGAGATCCACTGCTACCAGTTTCTCATGAGTCTTTCAAGAGGTGGTTTACATATTCATGAGTAGAAATAGATCTGTCTAGTCGATATGTGCAGTGCATATTCTTTCACAGTTAGCTCGTTTTTGGTTTTGTAACTTACATCTTAGATGTGGTGTGATAGTTGTACATGCAGACTTGGTGTCTTCTTTGTTGCTGTGATAAAATACCAGATGGCAAATACCAAAATGATAAAGCAGCATCCGGGAAAAGGTTTTATCTTGTCTCACCGTTCATCATGGCAGCAAAGTCGCCTCTGTGGTCAGGAAGCAGAGGAGAGGCAGCTTGTGCTCAGCTCTCGGTCTCTTTTCATAAAGTTCAGGACCACAGCCTAGGGCGTGCTGCCATTCAGAGCCACTGTGCCTTCCCATCCCAAGAATCTAACAAGACAGTCTCCACAGCATGCCAGGAAGCCTGTCTTGAAGTGATTCTAAACCTCAACAAGTTGACAGTGGGATTAGTCATCACACAGACCTGTTGACAGACTGTTCCAGTTATGGGTGTTCCTGTAATGAGTCTTTTTCTGTCCCACCAGCCAACTCCCAAATAACGACACAGAGACTGCTTATTAATTATGGAAGCTTGGCCTTAGCTTAGCTTTGTCCCACTAACTCTTATAACTTAAATTAACCCATTTATACAATCTGCATTTTGCCTCATAGCTTTTTACCTTTCTTTCATCTTGCACCTCCTGTTTCCTCTCTGTCTGGTGACTCTGCCTTTCTTCTTCCCATAGTCCTCTCTGGCCCTACAAGTCCCGCCTAACCTCTTCCTGTCTCGCTATTGGCCATTCAACTCTTTATTACACCAATCACAACAAATACATCTTCACACAGTATACAGATATCTTACAACATTTCCCTTTTTTGTCTAAATAAAAAGGAAAGGTTTTAACTCTAACACAGTAAAATTATATACAATAAGACAATTATCAGCTAAGAATTACATTCACAATGTCCAGTCCATTTGTATTTAGCAAATTCAGAGAAAGTACTGTATTATCTATCCTATCTTAGTTTAGTCCAAAGTTTTGTACCTAATTTACTTTCTATCCTAAATTGTATTACCAACCCAAAACTATGTTTTTAGACCTCAAAACATTTTTTCAGATAAACAATTTAAGCTTTTAGTCTCTCAACCTTATATACTTTATATTTTCTTTTCTGAATTTGGTAACAAAGAAAACTATAGCATAACTTTCTTGTCTTCAACTCCATCAGAGACCCAAGAAGGATATAATATTACCTGATTAAATAGGAAGTGTAAAGCAAGCAACTTCCAAAAGTAGAAATGACAGAAACAGCTAGCTGCCTGGACAGTCACCCAAGGTTCCTCTGTAATGTTGGGGCATCCATCGTCAGCTTACAGGCCTAGAATATCTGAAGGACTTTTTTTGTGAAGCAGGAAATTTTGAAGGACTGTCTTACCTTGTCCTGGCAAAGTTTGGCAGTCGCCTTCTTTTGTGTCTTGCTTGTCCAGTTTGGACAGCATACTGTCAACAGTTTAGGCAAGGGAAGTTTCTTTGCCCAATGGCTAACTTTGCCACAAATGAAAGCAAACTCCATGTGGAGGTTCTTCATTGCCCAATCCTTTCTAAAAGTAAATTGGTGCTGCCAGGAGCAGATGTGTCTCACGGTCAAGTAAAGGCCTTATGTTATGAAAACATCTTAGATGCCATATTCTGTTGATCTCTGAAGTGTTTGAAGACTATCTATCTATCTAGAATATATCTTTGTTTGACCTTGAAAACATGCCCAACATGGCTACGAATTTGATTGTTAGATGACTAACCACTAACATGTATTTCTTAATCATTCTATATAGTTTGTAATAATAACTTTCAAGGACTAGAAATTTACATTAGATTGTTAAATGAGCTACACAGGTATAATGCCTTAAACAAGAGTAGAAACATTTATACAGTATAACAAAAATAATCTTAAGTTTGTATCAATATACAAATTACCTTATATAAAAATAGAAACATGTATACAGTATAACAAAAATAACCTTAAATTTGTATCAATATATAAAACTACCTTATACCAGAGTAGAAAAATATATGCAGTATAACAAAAATAACCTTAAATTTGTATCAGTATACAAAAATTCCAGTGTAAAATATGTGAGACAAGTATTTGACTTTTTAATTTAAAAGTAGATTCAATAATCTACCCTTTTATCCTGTCACTCCTATATCCCCATTTTTTTTTTTTAGAACAAGATCCTGGATCTAATGTCCTTTGCTTAGTTTCCTCCCTTACCATGACCAGCAGCAATTTGCAACCAACCCCCCTAAGCAATGACAAACATCTATAGCCCTCTGAATGACCAACCCCACCCCCCTCCACCTCTTAGGAATTTGTACATCATATTCTTAAAATTGCTTCCTGATGTTTGGGGGCAACGGCATCTTTAGGGGGCCCTAAGAAAATTGAGATAATGGTCAAGTTCTGGGGAAACTAGTTGTATTATTTTTTGTTTAGTCTCTGTGTGATGGGAAAGTGTAGAGTTTAATCTGATGTCTTGGCTGGATAGTAGTCTGTGACGTTAGACCATCTCAGCAGCTTTGAAGTTGTTCTGGATGCATAATTTTGAGGAAACTGCAACAGAGGCATTCTGAGAGGCTGGATTGCTGAGCTACTTGTTTTCATTGGTGTCTGGTCCTTTTTCTGAAAACATACAAACTTTTAAAGGTAGCATTTATATTTGCATTAACACAAATATTGAATGTGTGGTGTGCACAAGTCAGCTAAAGATTATTTTTGTTTTATGTTTGAGTAGGTAAAAGGCATTTGCTAACTTTATATCTGTTTGGACTACATAACCAGACCTCTATCCATGCCATATGTAAGGATGGCGTGTAATAATAAGTCATGAGGACTCTGTAGCCAGCAAGCTGTATCATGTCTCATCCAGTCTCAGAGTTGTTCCCATGTAGCGGGATCAGCATAGATGTCACCTGTCCTGTAGTCTTTCTTGGCTTTTTCCCTCATGTCTGTTGCCAAGATCCTCAGGAGGTCTCCCCCAGTCAAGTGTGATCTCAGTTAACTTTGAGGGAATCCATAGCTTTTAGTTTCCTGTGGAGATAAAAGCACAACCTCTCCCCAACCCAGCAATTGTCTGACTTCCATTTTGAAGCCAAGACACCCCTAGAGAGTATAGGCTGGTTTAATTCAGCAGTCCCTTCCACAATCCAGTGTCTCTCAGCAGTTCTCTGTTCATTAACATTCAAAAAACTCCAAAATTAACAAAGCACGATATAGGGTCCAAACTCCCTGTGTTATATTTTCCATCCTTACATGCCTTATTTTTTTTATTACTTTACTCTCTTTTTAAAGACTTTATTATTTTTAAATTATTTTTTTATGACTGTCTATACCTATTTTCTTTTCTTCTTTTAGCATCTAAGCACATTTTTAAGTGTACTCTACCTGTTTAGAGGTTTTCTCTGTCTGGTCCTGGCTTTACTGAGCACCTGCAGCATTCTCTGACCACATGATACAAATCTTAAACTGCCATGTCAGCTGCCACATGGCTCTGCTTAGTGCATGGTGCTTGCACATGGTGCTAGTGGCTAGCACCAGCCCACAGGCTGCAGCCAGTAGCCACACCTCTGTGTGGCACTGAGTACTGGCCTGCCCGAGAGACTGCAGGACTAGGAACCCGCACCCAGATCCTTGTCCAGAAGTTTTCTGAGCTTTCTCAGGCCCTGTGTTTTGATATTGGGGCCTCCACGTTGGATGCCATATGTAACGAGTCTTTCACTGTCCTACCAACCAGTTCCCAAATAACAACTCAGAGACTGCTTATTAATTATGGAAGCTTGGTCTTAGCTTAGGTTTTCCCACTAACTCTTATAACTTAAATTAACCCATTTATATAATCTGTTTTGCCTCATGGCTTTTTACCTTTCTTTCATCTTGCACCTCCTGTTTCCTCTCTGTCTGGTGACTCTGCCTTCTTTCCAGAGTCCTCTGTCCCCAGAAGTCCCACCTAACCTCTTTCCTGTCTCGCTATTGGCCGTTCAGCTCTCTATTACACCAATCACAGCAAGCCCATCTTCTCACAGTGCACAGATACCCTACAACATGTCCCAGGTCCCAGTTCATGGACATATAAAACATGCTGCGATGTGTCACGTGAGCAAGGACATCTGTAGATTCTATCTCAGGATATTTCATATCTGCTCTTTTTTATGGAATTCTAGATTCTGTTGTTTCTAAATAAGCGTGTGTCTTTACTTATACAACTGGATTTTTAAGTTTGTTTAAGCATTGGCTTAGCACCTAAAAACTTTTTTCCTCTAGAAATGCTTCATTGGTATTCTTCGTGTACAGTCCTGTGGTCCATTTAGTATGTTGTGAAGTGTGCACATGTGTAACATGGATCTTGATGACTAACTTGAGTAATAATGCCCCCAGATGATTCCAGGAGGCACAGCATAGCATGCAGGTCATCCTAGAGACAAACACGGCTCAGTAGCACCCTTCAGCTTCACTTTCAGACTCAGCGTTCCTGTCCCACA